ACACACACACACACACACACACACACACACACACGCCCTTGGCCTGGCCAAATCTGATGGTGGGCAACTGACTTAGGCTTAGCCCACCCAGTGGTCTTCCCTTGAACTGGGAGCCTCAGGGGAGCAATACAAGAACATGGATGTGGTTGGTGGTTATCCATGGAGACAGCTGGAAGTCATTTGTTCAAAAGTAGCAGAACTGGCATGCTGACCAAATACTCCTGCCAAGACACCATTACTGTGACTCCTTTGGCCTCGCCCGCTGACTTTCCACTTCTGGATTGGAAAACTGAGTCCCTGGACTTAAAATGACATGTCTGTGTTCGCACAATAAATTATCATCCAAGCCAAAACTCAAACCCAGATTTCTCACTGTACCCCCTTGCTTCCTGCCCAGCACTAGAATCTCCCTTGATGTTACCCAGTTCTATCCTCCAATACTCCTTTTAATAAATTCCCTTCTATGTAAGTTTTCTAGAGTCTTTTCATTGCTGACATCTAAGACAGATACACAATCATAAAATAGTGGTTTCATTTCCCATCTCAAGCCTTCATAGAAATGCAGACACTCAGATCCAAGGCTTTACTTTGGGGGCACTAGAAAGACACTTGAATAAGTGGGAGAGGGGATATGGAGAGAAGAAAGAAATAGAGGACAGGAGAAGGGAAAGAACCACACATTTTCCATTCTAGGACTGAGCGTATAGCGAGGGTCAGCAGAGGCTCCAACATTTGCCAGCAGTTGTGCTAAGCACAGCCCTCATGGTAACAGCACAGAGAGGGAGGTGCTTCCGCATCCCAAGTGGAAAGAGTGAGGTTGGGTGAGGCTGAGAAACTCGACCGTGGTCACACAGCACGTGACGGCAGAGCCGGCATCTGAACCAGATGGCACTGCTAACCAGATCTGCCCTTTCCACATTAAAAAGCGTGTTGAATGATGGTGAATAAACATGTGCCTTTTTCTTTTTATAGTATGATCTCCACGAGTGGTATCCATGATGTGGAATGAGTTTGTAATGATGTGACAAGATCATTGGATTCGGTATTCATTTATCTTAAAAACACGAGGTAGAAAACTTTACTGAGCCCGTGAGAAGCTGAGCTGCAGGCGCACTGAAGCCTGTTTTGATTTAAATGGAATGGATCTAGCTCGAGTGTAAATTCGAGACTGTGTTTGCTTGTCTCACACTCTATTTTTTCAAATTACTTTCGCATGGTTTATTTCATCTGCTTCCCCCCACTTCTGGATGAGAAAACTGAGGCCCAGGACTTGAAATAACGTGTCCGTGTTCACACAACAAATTGGCATTCAGGGAAAACTCAAACCCAGACCCTCTCACTGTACCCCCCCCCCCAGCCCCCTCCTGCCCCACACAAGAATGATTACATACCAGTTGGACTTGACAAAGGGATTTGCATTGACTCATTCGGATGATTTGATTTAGCCTCCTGGGATCACGCAGGTAAACATTAGTCCTTCATCTCTCTCCAAGTATATGCAGTCTGTCTCTGTCTTTGTCTATTTCTTCACCTTCTCCCTGCCTCCCACCTCTCCTCCCTCCTCCCTTTCTCTGTTCCTCTCCTTTCCTTCTCTTCTTTCCCCTCTTCCTCTCCTCCCACAAACACATTTGTTTTTCCTGCAGTAGGGATGGTGTCATGTTGATGGGGTGGGTGAAATGAGGAGTGTCTTTTAAGTCCCTGGAAGCAGAATATTTTCTTATGGATTTTTATTGTTTGGATTGTTTTGCTAGACTAATGAAAAAAGACTCTGCGGTCCCCTTATCTCAGGCCAACCAGAGGATGCCTTCAAGGTTTTGTTTTTGTTTCCAAGCTGGTTCCTTACAAATGCATCCAGAAGGTCACTCTCAGGTCCCCCAGATAGGAGCAGGTAATCAATCACATCCAGGACATCAGCATCACAGAAGAGAATCTCATGAATGGGAGCACTTGGGGAAGGAGAAAGCAAAGTCCCAGAATAGTGAGCTGCCCCAGAATAGTGAGCTCAATGAAGGTGATCTGATGGATTGCTTTCTCCAGAAGTTTCCTGGGAGAGTCTCAAGCATATTCTAGCTCCAGTGGCTATTCTTCCCCTCTGATTTTTTACTCCAAATAAATAAATAAATATGTATTTGTATAAAAGGCTCAAGCATTTGCCAGGTAATCTGATAATTGCAACTTGGCAAGCAGTAAAGACTGTGTCTAATAGCTCCAAGGACTGGGGCCACATGGGGCCCCTAGGCAATCCCTTCAAAACAAACAGAGGGGGCTCCAGTGTTAGCTTTGCCATGGACAGTCTCTGGGAGCTTTGGCAACTCACTTCACTTCTCTGGGCCTCACTTCCTCAATTATAAAATGATGTAATGAACTAGTTTATTCTCTCAACAAATACTTATTAAAACATCTACTTCGTGACAGGCCTTGTGCTAGGAATTGAAAATACTTGTTAAAAGATAGATGGACCCCTGGTCTTAAGTGGCCTCGAAGTTTAAAGGGGGAAACTATACTAATAAAGGAAGATTAATAATAATACAGTATTTTTAAGTGTTCTACAGGTACTATGTGCTAATGCAACGGAAGGGCAAAGGTGGAAGCAACTTGACCCAGCTCTAAAAGTCTGTGTGTATGTCTTTCTTATTTGTTTCATTTTGATCTGCCTTTCACACTAATGCATTTTATTCTTTCTTGACTTAGTTACTTTCAAATAATTGTTGTTATTATAAACCATTACCAATTACTGCATGACATACTGTTTAATTGCCTCAACAATTGTACAAGTTAGATATTATGATCACCATTTGGGGTATTTTATTTTATTTTTAAAAAATGTTTCATTTATTTTTGAGAGAACGCAAGCAAGGTAGAGGCAGGAGACAGAGGTGCTGAAGTGGGCTCTGTCTGCAGTGACAGCAGCGAGCTCGATGTGGCGCTTGAACTCATGAACTGAGAGAGCGTGACTTGAGTGGGAAGTTGGATGCTCAACTGACTGAGACACCCAGGTGCCCCACCATTTTGGTATTTTATATATAAGAATAGTGAAGCTCAGAAAGGTTAAGTAACCTACTCAAGCTCACACAGCTAGGAAGTTACAGAACGGGGATATGAACCCCCAACTGTCAAATTCAAGGCTTATGTTTTTTCCACTATGTGGTACTGTTTCAGGTATATGCAGCAACTCAGCATATTTTGTGAAAACAAGTGTGAAGTAAAAATATGGGGTCTTTTGTTCAGAAATTATTAAGAATTCCAAGACGGTAACAGTAGAGCATTAAATAAAGCACGGGGCCCTGAACACCTGTTCAGGTCACATACCCATGAGGTCTGCCCTGCCAGCCACAATTTACTTTGCAGATGGAATCTCCTATCAAGGAGCCAAAGTATCATAGGAATTGGCATGCCCAGACCACAGTGACAGAATTTTTTAGTAGTCAGGCTTCTTGTGCATGTTTCCTGATGTTACCTTGAGGGATCAGCCTGGATCACTTGGGCAGAACTTGGGGCTCTGGGCAGTTGCTTTCCCAGAGAAGGAAAATGTTATATGTGGGGAAAGACAGATAATCTTGGGCTGGCAAGGTTTCTGGCCACACCCTTGCCTTACATTTAGAACCTGACTAGGGGGACATTAATGTAGCACAAATGGAACACAGCCAAGCCTCTTAGCCTCTCTTTTTAAACTGTGGATCAGGGGCGCCTGGGTGGCGCAGTCGGTTAAGCGTCTGACTTCAGCCAGGTCACGATCTCGCGGTCCGTGAGTTCGAGCCCCGTGTCAGGCTCTGGGCTGATGGCTCAGAGCCTGGAGCCTGTTTCCGATTCTGTGTCTCCCTCTCTCTCTGCCCCTCCCCCGTTCATGCTCTGTCTCTCTCTGTCCCAAAAATAAATAAACGTTTAAAAAAAATAAAAAATAAAAAATAAACTGTGGATCAGACCTGCAGGTGTACTCTAGTGAAGGGCAGTGGGTAAAAAACAACAGGGCTTGGCATATGCTGGCTTATAAGCCTCTCTCCTGAAGCACTCAAGGTGTCAGCTCCCATTGCCCTTTTGGTTAGCAATTCTTAATCAGTGGTATTTAAACTTTTGAAATCATAGACCCATCTATGAAGATATGGAGCATCTCCCCAGAAAAAGGACACGTGTACATAAGTATTTTGTATACAGTTATAGACTCCCTGCACAGACCCCAAATTTTTAGATCACAGCTTCCCCAGTTATAGAACCTACAGTATTGGGCCCAGGCAGGAATTTAGAGATTATTTTTGTGAAGCCATCTTACTGCTCAGAGGGGGTGAAGGTTGAGGTCATTTGGGATAATAAAAGGTTCCATACATGTTCAAAGACTCGCTCCCCTGATTGTCAACTCTTCCTTGAAGTTGTTGCCCCACACCTAATGTGCTCCTATCAAAACAATGTAGCCAAGTGGGACAAGCTATCACCACAAATGGCTGATGTAAAGGACGTTAGGTATAAGAACAGTCCGTGTCCTTGAGAAGCTTGTAGACATCTGGGGGAGAGACACATATAAACAACAGAATGTAGTAGAACATGTGCAGTTACAGATATTTGAGCTAGGTTGAGAGATGACAGACAGAAGGGCATTATCAGCTCTGTTTGGTTGGATCACAAAAGCCTCCTGGGAAAGAACACTCCCACAACAGGATCTTGAAGAATGGGCCCAGGGTCGTGCAGGGAAAGAGCCTTCTGGCTGAGGGGACCGACATGTACAAAGCAAGAAGGATGAGGCAGGCAGCTTGGGGTATATAGGAAGCTGGACGTGGGTGGGTGGGATTGACTAGAATGTAGGCTATTATTGAGGAAGAGGTGGGAGGTGATGCTGGAAGGGGCCGGATTCTGGGGGCCTTGGACCTACAGAGGAATATCAGTCTGAGTGATGGATGAAGGCGTCTCTTCTTGGGGATGCTGCAAGGAGGGCGGATATCCATCTGTTCCGCGTGGACTTCTGCTGGGCGGGGGTGGGGTAGAGATGGCAGACAAGCGGCCTCTCTCAGATCCCTATCACCTCTCTCTTTACAAATCGACTGCTGCCAAACACTAGAGAACATAAGAAGGGCCCTGTAAAGCATTCATGAATGATGAGAAGCCAGCCTAAAATACATCTCTAAGATGCCCCTGAGATTTATTCACCAGACAAGTACCATTTTCTCCACTATAAGATGGCTAAATGGGAGGAGGCCTGCTCACAAATACAGAGAAAATATTTTCATTTAAAAAATTTAAAAACTTAAAAGCCTGACCCCAGCTTGACATATTGATGTGTTTCCTCTGAAAAGTCTCACATTTTTTTATTCATTCTTCCAATTGAACCAGTTTAGCCGTAGGCGGTGGGCTGCCTCTGAAGAATTACTAATCAAGAGAAGAGAACATCTCCAGAAATGCATAACTGTTGCTGTTTCCATGTCACTACTTCTCAGGATTCCCGGGCAGGACAGGCTGAGAAGGGGTTTGTTTTCTCCCAAGGAAATGCAGAAACAAGAAAATCCTAACTACTGGGCCCACTCTATGCAGTTGATATTCTGCCCCGAAGTTGTTCTTCCCCTATTCACCACGAGGTGTCACGAGAACCCTGTTTTAAAAGAAACAAAGCCTCCAAATTGGGGACCTAAAGCAAACAATTCCCCCTAGCGTTCAGATTTTTCAGTAAAAAATATTTTTAACAAGAATACAGACTGCCAACTGTTCAGAACTTATCTCTTGAATAGCTACACAATGGTTATAATTCCTCAGAGTACCTGTCAGTGAGATGGTTCCTACAGGATCACAACAGAGTTTTGTAGAAATATCCAATGGTAAATGCACATTGTGCAGGAAATTCCATTGCATTTACACGATTTATTTAATAAAAAATAATCTCTGCGATTATTTGCATTTATTTCTGAAGGAGGATGTTTTTCCTTCCTCAGAATAAGTTCAGGAAATGGGTGAAGTGTTCAGGAAGTTAGCTAAATGCTGATGTAAATCCAAAAGGAAGGTCTGCTGTTCAAAAAAAAAAAAAAAAAAAAAAAAAAAAGAACCAAAAAAAGCTAGGAAGTAGTCCTCTCTTTCACTTATGGAAAATGTTATACAGAATTTCTCATTTAAAAGGAAGAGGACTAGGAAAAATGTGTGTGCCCGTGGTATCTTTTCCCGTGGATCTGGTCAGGCCGTGAAGACTTTTGCCGATAACAGTTGCCCACAAAGAAAACGGTGTCAAGAAATAAAATCTAGATGGAAGATGTGACTGTAATGAAGTTTGTATTAAATTAAGCCCTTACTATGGAATTTGCATCAGCTATTCTAGGGAGTGTGTTTTGATAGGAAACTCTGAGTCCAAAAGAGGTGGTGGGACCCCTTGGCACTACATAAACAACTAAAGGCGACCCTGTCCTCACAAGTTTCCCGTCCCTTGCAGCCACCAGCAAGTGGTGTCACGCAGACCTGTGTACTTCCAGGGAGGGAGTCTCATTCAAGGAAGCCCAGCTGTCCAGGGCTGCTCCGTCAGTCAGCGTTGCAAATTGCTGAGGCCCTTTGGTGCCGTCGTGGTTGTTATTTCTCCATAGCGTGCAATGCAGGGAGTGTGCTGTTATCAGGTGCACAGAGCAAACAGAAAGCTTCTGGCCTTGAAACACCCGCAGCACAGAAAGCAAAGATTCGGCTCATTGAACAGGGCCATGGAGGACGAAACTTGTGGTGGTTTCTCTGAAAATCGCCCTTTCCTTTCCATCTCTCTGCTACCACCTTCATTCAGGCCTCCATGGTTTCTCATCCGACCTGGCCTGCCTGCCTCTGGCCTGCCTGCTCTCCAGCCCACAGTCCCCACAGCTGAGAGCTTTGTGAAACACCAACTGGCATGTGAGCCCTCCTTGCCCTGCATCTGG